TTATTTTTATTTTTTAAAATAAATAAATATTTTTTACTTTAATCATATCATTATTTATTTATTTTAATTAATTATTTTATTACGAAAATCTTACTTTATGTTCTAAATTTTTTTTAAAAAATAATATAAATAAATATATAAATAATTTCTAAATATTTAATTTAGAAAAAAAATTTTAAAAGAAAAAAAGACAAAGAAAGTATACAATCTAAGAGAACTATGTATTGACCATCACTTCAAAGTCTTCTAACATTAATTTCTATATCTTATATTTTACAATAAAAGACATATTTTTCCTCTTTTTTAACTCATTTCTCCCACATATGATATAACTCAAATTAAAAACCTCTTATTTTAATTAAAAGAAATCGTCACTCAACTAGTTATAGTCGTTGTCTAAACTTGAAGTTAGGCATGCAGATATAGGCATGGTGTTGTAAATATCAACAAGAGCGTCAACAAGCACCACATCTGTAGCTGTTCATATAGCTGACTTGCGCGTCATGGAATTAACATCACCAATATTTGACCCATCTTCAGGCCAAGGAGAAAGCACACAAGTCAACCGATGATAGCTTCGGCCTGAGAAAATAGTGTACACCATTAGCCATGGGCAGCATTACTCAAAACTTTCATAATATTGTGCGTTGGCCTTTCTCCACTTCTATCAAATTCACCTTCGCATTTTGGATTTGAAATGTATTTTGGACAAAGGAGCAGTATATATGGCCAATATAATTGCTCACACAAACGATAAAAGAGAAACGAAAAAAACCCAGGAAAAGACCCAGAAAAGCTAGATGCCATAAGGTGATTTGAGGAAAAAAAAGAGTGGAAATTAAAAAGATCAAGAGCAGACAAAGATAAAATAATAAATAGATATTGATATTGATAACCAAACATGTCCCATCTTTTATATTGCTCATCTCCCATTATTAGCCAAGCAAAACAAACAAAAAAAAGAAAATGTTATTTCTCTTTAAGCAACAATTATCTTTCTCCCAAACATCCCCCTCCTCATTGGTAGCGAAAAAAGGCAACAATAACACGAAAGAACAAGCTTTCAAGGAATAAATATAAAAAGTAATCTATACCTTTCCTTAAGTCCCGCAGCTTTCAACCCCCAAAACTTCTTTTGTTTCTCCTCTTTAGTTCATTTTTTTTTCTCTTAACAACCCATTTTTGAGAGATAAGTATGATGCATTTCATAAAAACAGTAGGCTACACCTTAATCCCAGAAAGAGTTATCTCTTTTTTGAAGTTGAATATGCCCAGAAGGACCATCTTTTTTTAAGGGAAAAAAGACAAAAGGACGGAAAAAAACAAAAGCAAAAAGAAAATAGTTGCATTCTTACTTCTCAATATGGGGCTGTTAAGGATCTTTGTAGAGTATGCTTTTTAGGAAGCTGAGCAGGAGCGACTAAAAACTGTAAAACAAGATTACAACAAAACCCCATCAACCAATTTCTTCCACTTTTTCAGAAACAAACTCCAAAAGTAGAAAATAGAAAATAAAAATAAGAAATCAATGAATACCTTCTCTAGCTGCCTTCTCAACCTGGCATTTTCTTCCTGTAAATGAGCAATTTCAAGTTCCAATTCGTTTGTGTAAGCCTGCAGTACTCAAATTAAAGAAATTAATGTATTAAACTCTCAAAAGTGTGACGTTAGAAAGTGTGGAAGAAACAGGGGAACAAATAGGGGAAACAGGGCATACCTGTTTTCTGGCCCTGGAACGAGCAGCAGATTCTCTGTTCTTCATCATGCGTTTATGTCTCCGATCGTGGAAAGCATCATTAAATTCCTGAGGCCTTTTCTTGCAGAATGGAGGGAAGACGGTAGGAGAACCCAGAGCGTCGAAAAACGAAGCGCCGCCGTTAACTGGTGGGTTTTGTCTCGCGGGATCGCCAATATCAATGCAGTGAATATCTGAGGCTGAGTTCAAGCTCAACACTGTGGCAGGAGGAGGAGGCGGCACCAGGGAAGTGTCACCGGAACCACCTCTCGTTGCGGAGTCTTTGCTGAAGGGTCTGGAGCCGAGGAAGTCCTGAAGGATCATGTTAGAAAGATCGGGATTGTTAACGGTAGCGGCAACGGAGGTGGTGGGGTGGTCGAGTGAAGCTAGGGTGATGTCTTTCCAAACTTCTTCCATGGATTTTTTTTGGCCGATGATGACTGTGGGGGGTTTGGGATTGCTCCGATTGGAGATGGAGATGGAGATGGGAAATTTGAAGGAGAAAAGTATGTTGATGGTATGATTAATGATTGTTGTTTCTACCAGGGGGCGATGGGGAAGTTTGCATGATGAATTTAATATAGTGATGAAGGATAACATAGAGTGGGTAGATGTGATGGGAAGGCCTGATCACTTGGTGCCTGCAGTGTCTTTCTATATAGAAATATTGGTAATGTTATTGGGATAATTTTTATATTTTATTTTTTTATATAATTTTTATATGGAATTAAATAAATAAATATATTTAATATTATAAATTTCATATTAATTAAAAAAATTAATCATTTTAATAATATATTAAATTATATAAAAAAATAAGATAAAAATATTATCTCAATAGCCAACGGGCCTGTGGCCTAATTGGTTGGCCCCCAAGTTTTAGGGCTTGGGTGAGGGGGAGATCAGGGTTTCGAGCTCTGCCACCGAGCTCTGTCACCGTCGTGAACTCCACCAACTTGCGACTTAATAGTTGCGCCCCTCAAATGAGAGGGTAAAACGTTTATTTTCCTGGAAAAATTCCAGCTGCTAACAAATTAACTCTATTAACTTCCTAACCATCTACTTGATCAAAAAAAAATATTATCTCAATATTCCTCATATAAATGTAGTTTTGTTTGTCAGTGTTTCGTTCCGTAATATTATTTAATATTTTAAAAATAAGTAAATAAAATATTAATTAAAATAAATATTAAATATTTTTTAATATTTTTTTAAGATATTAAAATGCCATGACTCTAAAATTAAATTTCAAACTGTGTTGTTGTGCATTTATTTTTTATTTTTATTACTTTAAAAATATATTAAAATTAACTAAAAATAATAAATTTATATTTAAAGTAAAAATATTAATACAAATTAAGCAGTGTTAAGAGGAGGGCATCATTAACTCAAGGTTGGATCACTATGTCTAAGCAACAAAAAATCGGATGAGGCATCTCTACAACGTTTTTAAAGAATAATGCTTTGAATAATATGTCGTGCTGTTTCGAGTCACTCAGGAATAGACAAATATTGATGTCAGTTCACAGTATGAAATCTGTTGTACTTATAAACACATATGGTATTGCTGAAAAACCTCTGCCAAATGTTGGTTTTTGAAAAATATTTTGTTCTTTTGATCTTATTGTAAAAAATTTAAAGGGAGGGTTGAAGTTTGAAACTTATCACTTGAAATAAATATTTGGTTAAAGATAAGACAGAATTAAATCCATCATTCTCTAAAATCTACAGTAAATTTTTGGTTAGTGTGCTGGAATTCTTACTACAGTGGCACATCCAAAAATGCAAAAAGAAGATGTAAACAGAAAGGACATGTCGAAGGCTGCAGTAGCCATTGAGATTGCAAAACGTCTCAAAAGTGTTCTGCTGCAGAGATGCCAAAGTGACTATTCACCTAAAAGAGGAAGGCCAAAGCCACGGAGGAATTTGGTTTCATCAGGGCTTTGGTTTACTGATATTTGGGTTTGTTCTTGTGTACTCAATTTCACCTCTTTTGCTGAAGCAGTGATTGTTTGTTTATGGGAAAGTTTTGATAATTTTTCCCTAAAAAGCTTGTCAAAATAAGGTAGTCGGGAATGTCTGTCCAACTGAGTAAGGTAAGAAAAAAAAAATTACTGTTGTTTAGTCATTATGGCTAAATTTAACCAAATATGAGAGAAAGTTACTAGTCTGGCAAAGCTTCTTGTCATGGCTCTCTCACAGAAAAAGTGTTCCCTCTTAGAAAAGTTTGGTCAAGGAAGGTGAAAGTGAAATGTCAAAAAAATCAACCAAACATGACAAATTTGTTAAATTTTTCTACTAAAGTCTTAAACTTTCTTCTAAACGGTTTTAAGTGAGACAAGTAAAAAACATCCCCAGTGTGACTTGTTAGGAAAAAGGCTTCAACTAAATCGTTGCTCTAAATATCTTTAAAAAACGACTCACGTTCAAATGCTTACTTTTTGTACGTGTAATGATGAACTTAAAAAAAGAAGAAGATGAAAAGAATAGGAAAAAGAGGAGAAGGGGTTTTAAGTTAAAAAAAATTTGTATTGATGTAATTTAGATTGTATTAATTATATAATATAAATTATTAAATAAATATAAAATTTTTAAATTATTTTTTATTTTATAACCTAATACCACCCTTTTAAGTTTTCATTTCTTTCCGAGGAAGAAGGGAAAAGGCAAAAGAAACGAGAGATCTAGCGTACAAGATACCCTTGTCCTGTCTCACATATCATAATACAAAACCATGACCCTTCGGTTCTTTACTTCTTCTTTTTTTCTAATAAGTCCTTTGGTTCTATTTGAAGTGTCCATTAATGATCCTCTGGAAGGTTGATTTCATCATTACGAGAAACCCTGAGCAAAGAATCTTTAGAAGATAGAGGCTGGCACATTAATGAATGGGAGTCAGACTTGTCAAGATTTAGGAAGTCATACAATGCAGCTGTCAGCACCAAATCATGTTCATAGTTCTGCCATATTATTATGCTGTTTCATTTCAGTTACTCTTTATGCCCGTGAGTTCAAAATCTAACATTCTGTCTCAAAGGACCACATTTTTGGGTAAAAGGAATGTTGTGGCAGTCTCTATGGGAACCTACTTGCTCGTTGGGTTCTACCTTCAATTTCCAGCAAAAACCAAAACAAAATTCTTTTGATCAAAGGGATATTATCCACCTACAGATATGAATCTGGGATATCATGGAATCTAGATAATCAAAAGGAAGGTCGAGAAGGGTCTGCACAAGGACACTCTTGTGCTATTTAGTTACTAGCTATGAATGATGCAGCAAAATCTCTGAGAAGCATCTCAAGAACGTAATTTACACAGAAATAAAAATAAACAAACAGAAGGATAGGAGCCCACAGAAACATCAGGCCACCACTTTACTGGCAACAACGTACTAAAAGGCTTAGTGGTTCAAATCCTTATGGAAAGTGGAGTTTCAGCAATGTTTAGAACAATTATAGTTCTCCTCCTCTTCTTAGTGCTTGACCTTATCCATTTATCCATCATCCATCATCCATCAATCAAAATATCAAATTCAAAAAAAAAAAAAAAAAGAAGAAGAAGAAGAAGAAGAAGGAAAAACACCGAAGTATGAGTGCCCCAACTATACAACCAAACAGCCTCATACCAACATTAACCTAAATCCTCTATTGTCTCCAGTGCTTCTCTTTCTCTATCTTTCAGAGAGAATAATTTATAAATCTTTCTTATTTTCTTTTAACTCTAATTGCCTCATCAAAACACTGCCAAAACCGAGTAGGGATGAAGAGATAAAATTGAAGAAAAAGGAGTCTCTAGACCTTCCAAAGCATCATGCATCCCATAGAATCCAAAAAGTGCACCATCCTTGCAGGATTGTGCTTTGCGGTGGCAGAGGTTTATCACTGTTTGTTTGAACACATGTCTTCAGAACCTTCCCCACTAGAGAGTTGTGACTGGCCAGTCAATTCAGATGAATGTCTCCTGGAAGAGTCCTCTGTGTGAGGATTGGTAGCATGTTCCCCTACTGTAATCTTATCAAGTGCAGCTGCGAGGTTCTCTGCGCTTGTACCAGCTCGGGACAGTGAGCCTGAATCAGAGGAAACCCGACTGGAGGAAGAAATCCATTTTATCCAGTCATCTCGCTTTCTCACTTTGTCACCCTACATAGTACAACAGTGAGAATCAGAGTATCAGACTAAGATCCAATGGGAAAATTAATAGTAGTTCAACTCAAAAGCCTTTTTTTTCCAACATGATGCCACTGCTTCAGTATTTGCAAGATGGTAATCTAGACTTCCAGATGGCGAGGGCATTTTTTTAATATTAAAACATTGGGATAAATAGATTTGAATTTGAAACCTCCCAGGTTGAAGTCCTAAAAACTAGACCAAGAATTCATTGACAAATAGCAAGACATTCTTTTTCTTTTTGTAGTAGCATAAGGTTAAGCTGGAGAGAATACCTGTACTTCCACAATGGTTGAACCCCTCAAAGCATCCAGTATCGATTGAATATTAGTTGTCAAACTCCGAACCTGCAAAATGTAACAAGAAAGCAAACCTGAACCGTGCAAGGAATCTGAAATAAAATCTTTTAACAAAGCTGACGAACATCACATCTAATTAAAGATAAAAGCATTTCTATTAGTGTGCGTAAACTTTGTAGTGAATCCCTAAGCGCCGATACCGGGGACTATGTACTTCACTTTTCTCTATATAAGCAAAGACCAGGTGCAAACTAAATGGTAGTTCTTACATCTTACATGTAAACACAGAGTCTTTGATGGTCATCCTTCAAAAAGTAAGATGTAAAAGTTCACATAATTCAAGTCAAATGCCACACATATAGATGAAAAGAAGTCCAGCATAACTAATTTCCATTTAAAAGATCATTCTAGATCATCATATGGCTGGCAATTAAACCCAAGACAGCCATTGTAATAAATTTTAGTTAAAATTTGCTGGTATATATATACTAACAGTACTTTTAACTGATTTCAACAACAGAAATACATGCTGCAAATAACAATTTGACGTTATAACTACTTACACCAAGAAATTATTTCAGGGACTAGGAATGCAATGCAACAATTTAAGCTCCTCCAGATTTACCAAACTCCAAGAGTAGGGATGACAAATACTTTTAACACGCAAAACATAAGTTTGCATAAAATTCAACAGCTTCATAGCTAGCATGTAGAACAGTCAATAAGATGAGTAAATGGTGACCACCTAAGTCCCCAAACATCAAATTGATAATGACAAATAACTTACCCGTGGAAATCCTGCTATCAAAAAAATTGGGACCCAACCCTGCTCATCCATGTTAGACTTCAAAAAGTCATCTTTTACCAAATTAACATCACTGCAATAAACAGTCCATCAGTGTAGAGCTAGTATATCATCGATTAGTGATATTTCAAAGAGTCACTGAAGTAACAACCAAAACAGAAAAGATCAGACAAAAACGTGAAATCACCTGAAATAATAATCTATTTGATACACCAACTTTGCAGAAAGACTAGGTTCTGAAGGATGCATAACCATTGGATGAGGTGGGGCAATATATGGTGGAACACCCCTGAAGGGCTCCAAAGGCATGGTAGGGCGAAGATATATAAAATCTGAAGAGGAAAAAGGAAATTATTTCCAAATCCTCATTAACAAAAACAAAAGGCTCTTAAAATAATTAACTTACCAGGATAGCCAATGGGATTACCAAAGGGTCTCACGAGCTGAGGAACAAAACTAGGAGCATTGGGTAGTGGAGGACCTGGAGGCCTTACCATGCCCCTATTTTGACCTCTATGAGGCTGCATGTGAACATCTCGTGTATTTCCATAATTTCCACGGTCTTGATCACGCCTGCCAAAACTATTTTGGTATGCACCATCTCCTCTTCCATAACTTCCTCTCCGAGAGGGACGGTGATCATTTACCATCTTTGGTTGAGAAACTAATCCACCTGCTGGTCTATACTGTGGTTCTTGAAGGGAAGGATCTGGCATTGCTGGAAGAAAACCACTAACAGGAGGCAATGGCAGGACAAGGAATGGTGGGGGTGAAGGTGGTGGAGGGTGCGGGAAGCCACCCTGCACAGACCCACCACCAGAGTTGTTTCCCCCACCACTGCCACGCCTAGAGTTTTTTTGACGACCTGACATTCCTGCCGTTGTACGATTTGGTATTGAATTTGGGTTTACATTAGCAGGAGCTTGCCTCTGAGCCGAATGAGGGTTTACAGGTCCCTATTATTAAACACAATCATAGAAGAAGATCCAAAATAGAATCAGCTTTCCTATTAAAATAAGGCAACAAGTTAAGCATCATGCGGTAGCTTACAAACAATGACTGAAAAATCACTTAACTAATCTATTTTGCTTAAGTCAGGGCAATGTTGCATTATCTTAAACTGGAAATTAATTCAATATTCAAAATTCCTTTCCTCTTTGCCTGATTTTCTAGACAACCAAACACATAAACGCAATAGAAATATGAAGAGCAAACCTGAGAGGTTGAGGCCGATCCATCGGAAACGGTTCTGGAAGAACCGTCAGGTGATGATCTCGAGGAAGCCCTGGCGGATTCAGATAAAGCAGGCCAAGACATGGCACCCAGAGGACTGACCTCCACCACGCCTTTCGACGGCTTGTTCCAAGCTGGCTTCTTGGGCCGACCTCCTGCATTGTTGCTATTCAAATCAGAACCATCAGCCACCACATGATTATCCAGTGCTGTTTGCTGCACCGAAGTAGCAGCCGCAGCAGCAGCCTCCTTTGATGGCGAAAAGTCAGAGTTTTTTTCCGTCATAAAATTGACAGCAGGAGGGGACGACGGAGAAGAAGGTGAATGATTAGCATTTAAAATCGATTCCGGTTCCCGTCGAACCACTTGTACCCAGGGACAAGGTAAATTTTTCCGGCGAAACTGAGGACTGTTGGTGTTGACACCATCACGTGGAGAGTGGTGGTTGGAGGAAGAATCAGCAGTCATAGCCATAGGGTTTTTTTAGGTATTCAAAACAAAATTGCAACAACAAAATCAATGACGGCTACAGAAGACATTGATTAATAATAATAAGAAAAAACGGTAATTAAAACAAAAATATGAATAAGGGAGAGAAAGCATAAGGATTCTATTTGAGGAGAATGTAGATACAATCTGAAGATGGATCTAACTCTCTCTCTCTCTATATATAGAGTACGAGTGAGCCGCCGGACAGGAAAACCAGGTATCTTCCTCTGGTGTGTGATGTGTCTCCTTCTCCTTTGTGCTTTGATTTCAGAACTAGAAAGCTGCAATTTTATTAGAGATTGGAAGGAAATTACCAAAAAAATACGGAGCGTGGTTTTGCCCTAGCTTAAGGATTTTCTTTTGCGCAGTCGTTTTGGTTGTGGACCAGCATTTGCTTTATCTTGGGCTTTAGCAAGTGG